CTGGTTCACCGTAGTCGGAATAATCGTAAGAATCAGGGGCGACATAATTAATTCGATTGGAAGGATTTTGTCTAAAACTTCTTTGAAAATTAGGGTTTTGGAAATTTGGATTGCTCTGAATTACAGAGGGTCTTGGCGCACTCGCGTTACGCGCATTTGGTCGTATTACAGATGGTCTGGGAGGATATTGATTAGAATTTTGATGGTAGTTAGATGTAGATGGTCTAACTTGCATAGGTTGATTCGGCCTAGGGTAATTTTGAGGTTGGGGCTGGTTAAACTGTCTTGGGGCAAAGCTTGTAGGCTGTTGTCTCCGTTGGCATTCATTTGCTAAGTGACCGGGACGATTACAAAAATTACAAATTTTAGGGTTTGGTCTTCGAATAACTGAATTTTGATTCGGGTTTGGGGCTCTGGCGAATTTTTGTCGTTCCAAATATGAAAGTTGTAACTCTCGTTTGATATACGAAACTGCGGTCAAGATATCCGTGGGATGTCCTGATCGCACAACAGGTCCTATTTTTGAGTCTAATCCTGTTAATAGACAATTTAATGTCATCGTTTCGATGAGGGAACTTTGAGCAGATTTTTGCTCGCGATTTAGATTTTGTCTATTCACGGCGGAATGCATTTTGGCTGCATGCGTCTGCAGTCTAGATGCAAAGGTTAGGGGTGATTCGTTGGGGAGTTGGCGCATGTGTTGAAGATCCGCGATTAAAGATGTGAGATCTCTAAGATCTCCAAAGTGCGTTTCTAACAGGGACCGTATGTCTTCCCACGTGGAAGGGTTTCGGCTATTCACAAGTTCGGCGGCACGTCCGCGAAGTTTGTTTTTAATATGTAAAACGACGAGAAGCCGCTGCTCCTCGACGGCCATTTGATATGCCGTTCGGCACGCGTTGATGAAGGTCGATAGCAATATCGGGTTTCCATCGTACTCGGGTACAATCGAAAATATTTCAGATAATCTATAAGGTTCAATGTTCGCATGAACGTTATCAGGAATTTCAGCTGGTTGGTAATTATCTGAACCGTTAGTAGACATTTTAATGGAAAGTTGTTTCAAAAAGATTCAATAATGTCAAGGGTAAACGCAAAAATATATAAATGTAAAATAGAAAATACGTAAAAATGGGGAAAAATACGTGAAAATTGACAATATATAGAGTAAATGCGCAAAAATGCAAATAAAAAGATGTAACAATCACACACACAGAGATAAATCGCAAAAAATAGTTGGATTAAAATTGTACGTTACCAAGGGTACATCGGGAGGCAGTCGTGTTCTCCAGGCGGCTAGTGGATCTCTTGCGATGTTTCCAGTAGTCTGTCTGCAGTTGGGTGGCTGCTGCTCGCTGTGTCCCCTGTTGTTTTCTTTCTTCTTGTTGCTTTGTAGTTTCTTACTTGTAGTTTTCTTTCTTCAATGGGTTTCTTTCTTCTTAAGGCTCGTTGGTCCTTTTCAGCTTAAAGGATAGGCATCCACCACACTAGTTAGTATGCACGTGTTCTAATGCGTTGAAGCTATCCCACTTCTCTGACACCAATTTCTTAAATCATTAGATTTAGAAATAACTTTTTAAAAAAATTTTATTTGAGGACTGAAGCTTCAGTCCATATAAAATACAAAGGTTTACAAATGTGACATTTACGGAGTCTAACCGGGTATTGAACATAAAGTTTACATAAGTGACTGTTACGGTGCCTAGCCGGGTAATGAACGACATGAAATGGGCGCAAGGCCTATTTATACTATTGGTGTGCTTACAAAGCACTTCTAAAAAATAAAGCGTAAACAACGTGTTAGCGAGAAGTCGTTATCTGTTGCTGAGCTAGCGTCTGGTGCAACATTGTATGGAATAGTAAGTCCATTGTTTTGAGTGCATATAACATACATAATGTGGTCAATAAATTCTATGGCATGGTATGGTATGTTTTGACAGTTTGACCTCCAACTACACTAGCGCCGCCTAGCTGGAGCAAAATTGGACCGCCACGTCTGTGCTTCCATTGTCACCAATAAGTGAATGTCGGCGATTGTCAAATTGAAATTACTTGACGAACGAGATATATTATGCATGGCCTAATAAGTGTCAAATGTTTCAAAACATAATGCTAAGTTGTTGAGATGAAAATACAATTTTAAATGACAACTCCACCAAGCGTCTTAGTGCCACTCTTGAGTAGGTGATGCCTGACAGAAGCACGCTAAATATAAATCCGAACACCCAGTTTAAATGGTTTTATTTTAAAAAATTTTTGTATAAGTACTTAATGAAGCATAATAAGTAAATGATAAAAATTTCAAAATGATTGCACTGCTTTAAAGCCCTTTGACCTTTAATAATGTGTGGATGCACCCTGATGTGCTAAGCATTCTCCAACGCGCCTAGGCATGCTTCTGATAAGGTGGTCAATGTCCTCCTGTGGTATCTCATTCCAGGCAACCACCAACTCCTCTCGAAGTGCTTCTAGAGTCTGAGGAGGACGTTGCAAATTGAGCAGTCTCCTACCCATCATATCCCACACGTGCTCAATTGGGGATAAGTCGGGAGATCTTGGTGGCCATGGTAACAATGTGACATCATTATGTTGAAAGAAGTCTATTGTGACTCTTGCAACATGTGGTCGGGCATTATCTTGTTGGAAAGCTCGATCTGCCAGGCGGTCAAGATAGGGTAAAAGATGGGGTTCTAGAACTTCGTGGATATAACGCTGCGCGTTCATGTTACCTCTGATGAAGATTAAAGGTGACATGGAACCATAAGCTATAGCACCCCAAACCATAACTCCAACAGTGTGATGAACATGTCTTTCAAGAAAAAACTGTGGATTCCTCCTTTCACCACGTCGCCTTCTAACCCTGGCACGACCATCGTGCATGCCTAAACAAAATCGAGACTCGTCACTAAAGACAATACTGTTCCATTCCTGATCCCAGAGTGACCGTTGTCTGCATCACTCAAGGCGATTACGTCGATGTTCTCGAGTTAAAGGGAGGACCCAGTGTGGCCGGTACGAAATCAAGCCAAAACTTGCATGCCAATAGGTCTTCCGTGTTCTGCAAACCATTCATTTGCAATTGACCTGGTAGTGGAGAAACGGTCCCTTAAGGCCAATAATCTTAGGCGGCGATCTTCACGGTCTGTTGTTCTACGGCGGCGTCCAGTGCCCCTTGCTCTTTGCGTACGGCCTTCTCGAAGCCATACCTGACAACACCTAACCACAGTGTCTACACTTCTTTGCACTCTAACTGCAGTTGCCCGAAAAGAAAGTCCAGCTTCCCGAAGTCCCACTATACGGCCCCTATCAAACTGACTAAGTTGACGAAATCGTACAGGTCTCCGTACTCTAGGCATCGTAACCGATCGTAAAGGATGTCAAGAACTAAAATCCGCCAACGTTGATTCTTTACTGCGGCTGAAATATTCATTTTTAGAGCGTTAGTGAATTAAAAAAAAACAGTATAAAAACCGGAATGTCCAACTGATAAGGCTGAAAATTTTTTCACTTGTTATTTACAGTAAGATAAATACATTCACCAACTTTTATTAAAATAAAACCATTTAAACTGGGTGTTCGGATTTATATGTCACTTAGTATAGTTAAAAACCAAATTCCAAATTACTCTACCTGATTTAATACAGAACCTCAAAATTCAATTTGACCAGCAGTGAATTACGCTTATACTGATTGGTGTTTTTTTCGCCAAAACGCATAACGGATAATCCTGGAGAGTAGAACCTTGCGTAGTATCACTAGCACCCCATGGTATGTTTCCAACAAGATCATTCATAGATACCTTGACAGCCTGGGGACAGTACATCAAACAGGAACAGCGACGTTAAAGTCAAACGGAATCGTACAGCAACCCTTCATTGCGAGAGCCAGTAGGCTTCAAAGTCACGCAAGTAAGAGCGCAAGCACACAGCACCGCCACTCTCAATATGAACAAAATTAAATCTAGTGAGCAAAATTACAATTTTTCCACAATAACCAATCTCTAAGTTAATATTTGGATCAATTTGTATTATTTAAAATTATTTAAAAAACTTTATTAATCCGATTTTTGAATTGCCTGAGGTTAGTAGAACTCTGAAAAGCCTTCTCATGTAGATTATTCCACAATGCTCGATACCCTAGGGATAAAGGACCGATCCTATCTTCCAGTTCTGGATGTACGAAGTCGACACAGTTAGGGTGGGAGGTCGAACTCAGGCGGATCTGTCTCGTAGGCACAACGCGCGGCGGCATCATGAAGGAGACCTTTGAAGAGCAAAGCTTGTTGGCGTAGCAGTAGAAGAGAGCTAGATCGCCGACGGCTCAAACACTAGTTGACAATACCAAAGCGCCCCTTCGATTGAGGCACTACCTCCTCTTTGCTCTTCTGTCTGTCTGGTATACAGGCAACCTTACAATCTTTTAAACAAGACCAAAGGTCGTACGGACCGCTCTGACAGACGGTGTCGAATACAAAACAATTTTAAATTCCTATCCTTTCAAGAGTTTACAATGCATCGATGGTTATTTCTTGTTGTTGTATTGTTTACATATGGCATCTATTTTGTTTTAGACAGGTCATAAAAGGGGTCTTGTCATAGTGATACAGCGAGGATGGGGCAAGGATACTTGGGAGACACTTGAAGTCGAGCCCAAAAGCGGTACATATGGTTCAGTCCACGGGATCTCTTCTTTCTTCACGCTATTCTAGGAAGAGGAAAGGTATTTTCCAATGGAACGCTGTTGTAAGCAATAGTGATGTCTCTGGTCAGTGGTGAAAAAAGATTACTGCCTTGATGATATGATATACTGTATTCCGGTATTCATCTAAGGATTTGAAAGATGGTAGTGCCATCTATGAGACAGTGAAAATGAATTTGGAAATCTGCTTTGAAAAAAGTTATTGTTCGGTGCTGCCATTGTCTCATAGATGGCGCTAGTATCTTTCAGATCCCTTTATGAACGCCGAAATAGAATATATTAGCTACAGGTAGAAAAGGTTATGAATGGAACTGCGTACATGCAAAAAACCGTAGATGTTATGGATATCTCTATGTTCAATCTCAGCTTCTCCATCATTTGTTGATTTGTGTTTGTTATCGTAAGGCATTGTCCACTCATGATTGGGATCAAATACAGATGGTTCATTCATGTCGTTCCATATGCCCGCCAAAACTTCAGGATACCCATGATGAAATTCTGGGTCAGAATAATGATTCGCGTAGTATGTTCTTGCAGCTGGATTCAAAAAATCTACATAGCTGGAACTGCCAGGCCAACATTCACCTGCAACATAATGAAAGTCAATGATGGTATTATATAACATTTATATAATGTTATCATCTTAGAGGAATAAATGTTGGAATACTAAAGGCAAATACTGTATATGTATAACGCGAAGTCTAGAGTTATAGAGCGGTATAATAATTGATATGACCAATTCAATTGAAGCATTTTATAAATGGCGGCGTTTCCAGTGGGGTAATAACTTGATTATTTTAAGTGGGATACCTTGTATATCAATACATTTTTAGATTTCACGTGTGGTTTTAAAAACATTACACGTTAGCCTGATTTTTAAAATATATTAAATATAAAACATAACAAACGCAAGCCGATGTTATTAACTTTTCTTATATGTGTGCCTCTGCCGTAAGATTTGAGTCGATTTCATTGTGGAAGGAGACCTGCTTTAGTGGGCTTCTCTCGTTTTTTAGATAATCAACAGTGGATTCTGATCAAAATTAAAGAATGAAGTTTTAAATAACCCCAGACATAATTTTTATGTGAAAATTAGAATTTTTTAGTTTACGTTTGTTGTTAGGACAAAAAACGATCACCTTTTCAACCATATAGACTAAGTGTTTTTTGTGATACCGTCTGTTCTTACAGAAAAGTAAGTAAGCGATAGGTATGGTTTGTAGCAACGATTGGCTTTTGATCATTGTACAATACGCTGTGAAGAGCCGTTCTGTATATCTAAATTTTCAACAACTCAGCGAATTTTTTACCTTGTTTTATAAAGTATCCTCCCGACAAGTATTTCAGTGCGGACCTGTATTTGATCGTGAGGTCTTGGAGCACCGGCTTGCCCTCCCCTGTGAGGTCTTAAGTCACCTGATTCACGAGCCCGTTGTACTACATTAACAAAGGCACGAGGGGTTGGTTGCACTCGATTGAGAAACCGATCCGCATAAATATGTGCCATTTTTTATTTCGTTTGAGCCACGCAGCAAACACCACTATTCACTCACGCGTTGCCGACTGACACATTGACTGAATAAAAACTTCGTGATCAGCGTTTCAAATTCTTTCGCTTTTTTGTTTCCGATGCGATGAACCGATAAGGCGGATTATATCCGTTGTTGCCAAACACGAGCACATAATATTATTATTGAGACCGGGCGGTACTCAAACTTCTAAAGGGCTATAACTTTGTTACTTTAATTTTACCACAAAAATGTTAAAGGAAAAAAACATTTCTTTTGATCAGATCTACTCACTGTTAAAATAAATGACTCAACTTCGAACTCACCCTGTATAATACTAGAACATGGCATGATCTGAGTATACCGACACATAACTCTGCTCTATTCAAAAAAGACAGTAATATCCTTGAAAAAACATCTCAGGAAATATCTGGTCAAAAAAGGCGTTTACTGTGTATATGAGTTTTTTTAATATATGAAAGGCTATGATTTCTCTTAAGCTGTTAATCATCTTGTTATCGATGAGGTGCCTGTTATCGTGTGGTGCATCTATTTTAATTTCAATTTTTATTCAAGTTTTAATCCAAGTAAACATATTTCCTACTCTTTTTGTATATACATACTCCAATAATGTCTATCCACTAGACGAATATTTCTTGTGATAAGGCATGTACCTATATATTTTCAGGTACAGGTACAGGCCTATATGTGCTTTAACTTGTTTAAGTGTTACTTTATATTTACACATATTTCCCGTTGTATTTGCTCAAACGCATATATGACTTTTAGTTTTACATTGACAAGTGTTATATTATGTAACATATCTACAAGGACAATATCTATCTAACTATATGTAAAAACAAGTTGTTTCTGTTAAATAAAATTGACTATTTGGATTTCTTGAAATAGCATTTTTAATCTCTATTTTTGATCATCTTCCAATATTACTCATCTAAAAATCGGATTAAGAAGTATTTATCGGCCGCCTTTGTGATCTTTTACAAAAGATCTCCAAACCTGTTATACTTTCAGTACTGACGGTTAGAGATGAAATATATTCAGATTCTGCGAAAGTCAAAATACGTATCACTTTACAGGGCATCCCATTCCAAATAAGCTTGTTGGTATCTACTTCTGGCACAGTAGGGTGTACCACTATTTGGAAAATATTTCAGCCAAAGGGTTCTCATCAATTTTACTATGATCCCAAATTATATCTCTCATATTCTGAATCATGCACTCTGAATTAACCAATAATTTACGGGTTAAGAGGTGAGGTTAATTTTATTGACAACAATAATGACATGACTAACTCTCTCCCTCTGGAGGTGACGGCCAATTGAAAAAATACTTATTTTGGTTAGGCTCTGCAAAAAATTACTATTTCGTCGAATCTAAAGGTTCTACAGATTGACAAAACGTCATTTGTTTGTTAATAGTATTGCATGTAAGATAGTAGTTTATGACATGAAATCGATTAAGTTGAAAAATCTCTCTTTTGAAAAAATTAGTAATACTCACGTACCTACGAAATCCTTTTTTCCATCTTTTTCCTTGACGAAATAGTTTCCATCTTTTCCTTCCTTATATACGGGGTAGTTCTCATCTACCTTTATGTGAGGATCAATGATAGTCACTAGCTTTTTATTCTTGCCTTTTAGAGTCTCAAGCATCCTTTCTACACCTTTTCCATCATCACCAATGAATTTATCGGACCAAGTGAAATATTTTTTTTCATCGGTGTAGTCAATATCTAACCACATTGCATCTAATGGAAAACCACTGTTAGTCAAGTTTTCGACGACATTTAAAACCTCTTCAACGGTAAAATACGACCAACGACATTGATGGTATCCCAGCGTCCATAACTACGGATAACATAATAGCAAATTAAAATAGTTATTTGCTAAAGCGCTAAGATTAAAAAGCGCTCATACTGTATTTTGATGTAAAAATAACATTTGAAAATCAATCAACGGTGGCTTGGCGCTATCGTATAAAACTTTCTTAAACTATTGAAAAAACTAGAATACTCTGGCATAAGAGATACCAAGCTCTGAGTGCACCGCCTCTGACCTTATACATATTTGCAACGGAGTACAGCAGGGATCAGCACTTGGCCCTCTGCTATTTCTAATATTAATATATATATAACAACATTTAGGAAAATAATGGGTAAAATCCGCAAAAAGGAGGAAAGTGGATTCGAGCAGAAAATAGTATAGGTAACCCGAGCGATACGTATTTCTGCTGGTTGGCTTCATCAGGCCCGAAATGAATGCACATATGAAACTACAAAAGTAGATACACATGCCCACACATCCGGGTACGGGTGTAACCTGAGGAAACGAAGTTGGAGGGGAAAAACGACACACGAAGTCCACAACAAGAGCCAACCTACACATTGTAGTATAAAATGGCTTTACGACCTCGAATTTTCAAGGAGACGTCTAACCACCACCACGCGGCCGGTTATAGCTACTTGCTGTGGTACTTCAAGCCCAAAGGTTTCGTTTCCTCAGGTTACACCCGTATCCGGATGTGTGGGCATGTGTATCTGCTTTTGTAGTTTCATATGTGCATTCATTTCGGGCCTGATGAAGCCAACCAGCAGAAATACGTATCGCTCGGGTTACCTATCCTATTTTCTGCTCGAATCCACTTTCCTCCTTTTTGCGGATTTTACCCATTATTTTCCTACCTGTTGTTATATACTTTTCTCCGCATGATCATTTGTATATATATATATATATATATATATAGGTAATAGGCAAACTTTTTAGGCTTTAGTAAACTCGTTTAACGGTAATCTCGAGCTTTCGGCTTCTCTACGAAGCCATCTTCAGGAGTCGTCGTTCAGGTCGTGCAGCCAAATCGTGTTTCAAAACGAACGCGTGGATGAGAGCACTTGTTACAAATATCAAACCGAACGGAACGACACATTGGGTTTATTGATAATGACGGAAACCATCGTTAGGTGTTAACACTATATATCAATACACCCGAACACATTAAAAATTATCGAAAAACAATTTCTCCTTTTCTCCACGTGAAACAAATCTATTCGTAGGAGGTTAGAAGGGACTTTGCCGGTTTTTGTTCCCAAAATTGCTTTTCGATAATTTTCAGTGTGTTCGGGTGTATTGATATATAGTGTTAACACCTAACGATGGTTTCCATCATTATCAATAAACCCAATGTGTCCGTCTGTTTGGTTTTATATTTGTAACAAGTGCTCTCATCCACGCGTTCGTTTTGAAACACGATTTGGCTGCAACCTCAACGACGACTCCTGAAGATGGCTCCATATATATATATATTAGTAGCCTACTTTCGAGTATTGATAACGGATCCTGCTTCCTATTTGCAGACGATACCACCTTGCTGTCTAGATCCGACCAAAACACGGGTGTGGCTAGTTTGGAACAAGCTAAAAGATGGTTTTTAGCTAACAAGTTATCGTCAAGACATATCATTTTATATTTTCCTCTGACAGGTGGATTGTGAGATCCGAGCTATCAAAACTTCTAGATATAGTACTCGATACCAGACTAAACTGGACATCGACATGGTTTATTTGCATTTAGACTGTTTACACAATTATTTGTTCTTAGGCAGCTATGGTAACCATACTTTGCACGTAGTGAACGTCAGCATGTTCCATAGTCACATTACATATGGCACAATGCTCAAAATTTTAATTTTACACAAAACGTTTTTAAGGATAATTACAAATTCCAGTTATGGTTCAACGTGCAGAAATCACTTAAAAATTTTACAAATATTACCACTTCCATCAATTTATATTTTTAAAGTCCTATGTTACTACTACTACTACGTAATGTTAATTATAGTTGTAGTCACCGTTCTTGGTTACGTTATCAACGCCATATGAAATAAGTAAACAGATCGAGTCTCCGTACCATGGGCGGAACACCGCGCAGACTAATCTTCAGCGCATCTGCTACTCTCTCCACGCTTGAAGTGGGTAACAGGGGACCGCTGTTTTAAATCTCTTCCTGGAAATACTCTAATAAATTTAACACGAAGTGTCGGACTTCTCCATTGATGTTATTTCCGGGCATTGTACAATTTTATATTGAAGATCGATAACAGGACAACTCGAATTGCACGCCGATGTCAAATAAGTTGTCACTCTGACAAATATTATTGAAGGACACTCATACGACAAAGTTTTCGAGACGGAGACACACAACTAATAAATGTCTTTGAGCTTACCGAACAAACGTTCACACACAGGGGTACGTTGCATGTGTATGTATGCGGGAGACCTGTCAATAACGGTGACTACAACTATACTTAAGGCATCCATACTCGCTACTATATATTACTAAAAATAATAGACCTAACATTGAATTATATAATTTATTCGTTAAAGCAAATAAAGAACATTGATAAACCACTGTTGTTTCTATTCAGTTGATGAGTACGTTGATGCTATGACGCCACTCGGATAGTGAATAAATTATTTTGTAAGACCTCAGATGTACATTGTATATACATAATGTGGTCAATAAAAATGGTATCCTAGCAATACAGTGGACCTCCGGTAATCCGACAAACATTATGCAGGGCACTGTCGGACTATCGAATTTGTCGGATTATAGAGCACTGCCTAAGACCCCCTATAGTCCGGAATTTTTTACAAAAGGGTACCTTGTAATCCGACAAATTACATATCCAATGGTAAGATTATATATGTTATGTACATGTATGTACTTTGAAGTACAAATCATACATAGTTTATGTATGTCGAATTTAGTAAATTAAATAACAATAGAGAGCTTACGTTTTATTATAAAATTAAGCATGAATGCACATACATATGTACCAAAATAATCAAGAATTATTAATCAAAATTATTAATGAATTTATCAAATTATGAAACTTGGAAATATTCATCAATTTTTTTTTGTTTAAGGTTGTTATAACGCGAGATCAGAGCTTTGTCCCTCAGTCTTCTCAAAAGTAAAAGTTCGTTGTAGGATATACAATTCTCTTCAGCCCATTGTAAACCTAACTCAAAGGCGTTAATTGCGTCTTGTGCTGTGACTTGTGGAGCAGTTGCAATCACGTCGTCCTTATTTTCCTGATTGTTTGTTGTATAATTAGAAAAATCTTTTATAATCTCTTTGTCAGACATTTCATGAAAAACATTTTCGTCTTTATCCATTCCACGGCACCAGATTTCCAAATCTTCCGGACTTATCTGTATTTCAGTAGCGACTTGTTCTATATCTTCCGAAGTAACACTGACTTGTGGAACGTTGCTAGGAGTGGTGACTATATCTGGCAATAACTTTTAACTTTTTCCAGGACGATTTAATAGTTGATGACGGTAACGCATTCCACGACTGACAAAGAGCAAAAACCAAGTCTTTCATATTAAATTCTTTTAAAGTTTTTTCTATTGGTTGGTCTTTTGATACGGCTCTCAGAAGTAGGTTTTTCTTGTCTTGCTTGACAACCTGAATAATATTCTAGTCCATTGGTTGAATCAGTGCAGTGCGCTTTGGCGGAAGAAACATCGCAGTGATGCATTTATCCTCAGTTGTTAGTTCTTCTTCAGACGGATGACCTGGAGCGTTATCAAGAAGCAACAACGCTTTTTGAGGAAAATTATGATCTTTTAAGCATTTTCTAACTTCAGGTACGAAGCATTCATCAAATCACTTTTTGAAAAGGTCTTTTGTCATCCATGCACTTTTTTGTCCGTAATAGTGTGCAGGTAAATCAATGTTTTTGAATGCCCGTGATTTATTAGATTTCCCAATGACCATCATCTTAAGCGCGTGTGTGGCCGCAGCGTTAGCACATGGTAGTAAGGTTACACGATCTTTACTTACTTTTCGACCAGGTACGGATTTTTCGTTACAAGAAACGAAAGTTTTGTTAGGCATCACACGCCAAAAAAGCCCTGCTTCGTCTGTACTGTACACCTGTGACGGGTCAAGATTTAAATCGTTCACCTTTTGCAAAAATCTTAACTTAAAGGGCTCTATGCAGATGGCATCGTTAGAAAGTTTCTCTCCTGTAATAGTCATTAAACGTATGCCATGACGACTTTTAAAACGTTCTAGCCATCCTTTGCTGGCCACAAAATCATCTTTTTTTGTTATTTCCTCATAAAAAACTTAGCTTTCATGGCCAACATGGGTCCTGAAATTGGTGCCTGCCTATTTCTCTCCTGAAGAAACCACATGTACAAAGCTTCTTCCACTTCTGGATGTTCAGCTTTCTTGAGTGTCTGTCTCTCGCCTGGCCGGCAGTCAGTAGTCGACACGAACTTCTTGATCTTCTCGTGGTTTCTTTTAATGTCATAAATTGTAGATCAGCCTACACCGTATTCACTTGCTAAACTACTGAAAGTGTCATTGCGATTTAAGCGGTCTAAAATATCAGATTTTTTTTTAAATGTCAATGTTTTGTGCTTTCGGTTCTGAGTTTGTGATGACATTACTTGGTACTATACTTAATACACAATGAATAAATAGTAAACAATATACGCACGCTAGGCCGTACCGCTATCACCAGTAGTCAAATTCAAACTAAGTAAAACAATGCTTACGCGTCGAGCACGATAGCGGTGGCGCGTACAAATTGTAACACGTTCAAACCTGCGTAATCTACATTATCGAAGATTGTCAAATACGTATGTATGTAATACATATTCAAAGACATGTCGGATTACAGGGGGCGCCGGATTAGACAGCGGCCGGATTATCACTGTATTTTCAGGATTTTTTATCTAGAAATGTTTGTTAGCACACTCATTATACACCACTCTGTAAAATCGTGTTCCTAGTACAAAGCTTACCTGTGGCATGTGTGCTTTACCAGTAAGGTCGGTGAATTGTTGAATTACATTTTCGATTTTTGGTCCTAGCATTACAAAAAGATCGAAACTTCCACTATCCACCATAAAATGAGCCGATGGAGAACCAGCCTTCTTGTAAGTAATGTCCACCCATTGTTCTGCAGCATTGTGAAGAAATATTCCGGTGGTCGAAGTTTTTCTAAAAGTTACATTTAAAAATCAAGAAATATATTATGTTGAGATATTGATATATTTTCCTTCTTTTTTGGAAACACAATATTTGTCTTTAAGGGCAAGAAATATGAAGATTTTGGATGAGGAAATACTACAATTAGTGCAACAGTGAATTTTTAGGTGGTATTGTTAGAGTATTGCTTCCAGTGATAAGTTCGAATTGTCGTCATGATAGGTCTGAAGCATTTGCGGCCATTTTGTTAAACTTGATCAAATATCTCGTAAAATATAAACAATTTTGAAGGGAATTAAGTTCTTTATTACTTTGATTCTATAAAAATTTGTGGTACAGTCTACAGCTTACGAGAAACCAGAGGGTAAATGTACAAATACATGTAATATTTTCGCTTATGATGGCAAAATTAAGGATCCAAGAGTATAAAACACTACTCTCTCCTATTTTAGAGAATATTGTCAAAAGTGTCATGTACTGAAGAAGGACCGAAATTATTGCTACATTAAAAAAAAAGTTTCAAATGCATGTGGTTTCATTGGCGAGGCGAGACAAACATGAAAGATCATCGACATGTAAAACCATAGGACAAGTTTCAGATGTTTCAGTAAAATTTGCAGCGAATTAATGGAAGAGGAGGTGTAGTAAACTCTGGGCGCTGAAGAAAGACATTAAACGTAAACAGTGATCAGCACGTGAACAGATCCCTCGAAAGCATCCACGGATATACTCCAGTCACTTTAGGTCTAAACATCCTCGGCAGTGTATTTCTAGTGAATCCACAGACCCTTTTTCGTGTCATCTTGAGACTAGAAAAAGGATGACTGTTAAAATAAGTTACCTTGATCTTTCATGAGCTCTCAGTACAAAACATCATCGATATATTTTTGATGTAGGAACAACAAATTGGTTTTTCTAAAAACATCCACTTTGAACCTAAATTGACTGGAGTAACATCGATCTACAGACAAATTCAAGGTCACTAGCAGTCGTCGGCGCTCTACGAATCTGCACAGGTTTGGACTTGTAAACGTGATTGTAGATGACACGACAGGCATCTAACAGTTAATTCACGCACAGGATTGCATTGCATACGTATTACGCATTTAGTAGCGTATACTCGTTTTTCGCGAGTGGAACGTTTTGTTTATATATTGCCTAAGATACAATGTCTGACACAGATACAGCCGACGAAGTGGTTGACATCAGCGCAACCCCACCCAAAAAAAGGGCTAAGAAGCTACATTTAAGTGCAAATGAAAAACAAATAATATTAAATATATACAAAAACCAAATTCAAGAAAAACCCGATTTGGTCGTGGACGAAGTTATATGTAAGGTAGCACATATTTCTGGAGTATCTCGGTCCAGTGTTTATAGGATCATTAAGGAATATAGGAGCACTCACTCACTTTCTGAGCCAAAACCGTATCCTGCAAGAAAAAGGATAACGCACGGAGTAGATGACTTTGACAGAACTGCCATGAGGAGGAAAGTGCATAATTTTTTCTTCCGAAATGAGATACCTACAGTAGATAAGATATTAAGATTAGTTAATGCTGATGAGGATCTTCCATCATTTAAAAGAACCACATTCCGAAAACTTTTGAAGGAACTTAATTTTCGATTCTTGAAACGGGGAAGAAACAGTATGTTAATAGAGAAAGAAGAAATTGTTGTGTGGAGAAGGGAATACCTTAGGAAGATTCGGAAGTTTCGCGATGAAAAAAGAAAAATTTACTATTTGGACGAAACGTGGGTGAATGCTGGACATACTCAAGCGAAAGTTTGGGTCGACAAATCAGTAACATCATCAAGGCAGGCTTTTCTAGACGGTCTTTCGGCTGGATTGAAAAATCCTGCAGGTAAGCTCCTTCATCTATCCGGCAATTTAATTTTGATAAATAAAAATGGTGCATTCGCAGTGTAGTCATTAGGAAAAAAACTTCGACCCTCTTTTAAGCGTTATTTTGAAATTTATTATCATTTTTGGGTGCAGTCAATTTGCTTTGAATGGGTTTTGAGAAGTTGCAAACTTCAATTCAGCTAAATGAACTCGATTGCCTCATTCCTTCAAATTTAATCAATCCATAGTGTAAGGAATAATTTATTTCCAGGAAAAGGCAAACGGCTGATCATTTGTCACGTAGGTAGTGAAGACGGCTTTGTTCCCGAAGCACTGTAGGCCTTTGAATCAAAAAAGACAGGGGACTATCATGAGGAGATGTACGGCAATTCCTTTGAAAATTGGTTCTCCACAATGTTACTAAAGCTGGAGAATAACGCTGTTATTGTACTGGATAATGCCCCGTACCATTCTAGAAAAATAGAAAAAATTCCCACAATGGCAACTAAAAAAGCAAACATACAACAATGACTGGCCTCAAAACAGATCGATTTTGATGAAACAATGGTCAAGGGTGAATTGATAAGTATAGTCAATATACATAAATACAAATACGATTTTAAAATGATCGACGAAATGGCCAAAAAACAAAATAAAACTGTCTTGAGACTGCCACCCTACCATTGTGAGCTGAACCCTATTGAGCTGATTTGGGCCAACATAAAGCAATACGTGGCGTCGAATAATAATACTTATAAATTTTCTGATGTTAAAAATCTCTTTCACATCGCAGTCAATAGAGTTACGGCAGAGGAATGGAAAAACTGTATCCGCCACGTTCGGGAGAAGGTTGAGGTCAAAATGTGGGACTTGGACAATGTCATCGATACCCAAATTGAACCTCTAATAATTCATTTAAACGATTCAGAAGATTCAAGTTCCCCTTCTGAATGAGTGCGCGCAGCTTACTTACTAATAACTAAAAAGTGTAGTTAACTCATTTGTGAATCTCTAACTGAAATTTACTGTAAAAGGTAATAATTATCTTGTATGAAATTTTTGATGACCAGCCATAATATCTTGATGCGGTCCTGTAATGTCTCCTGCGCCTAAACACTCACTCACGAGCAATATGCGTGTATTTGTTTGGGTTTAGTTTCTTTCTTCAGCGCCTAGAGTATAGATAATGCTGGTTTATGACATCACTCCCTTTTATTAAAATCGTTTGCTTCGGTTGGTGCATGCACTTTCAAACGAAATTCTTAATCATTCATAGTGATTAATAAGTATTTACTTTAAAGAACGTATTACTTACGAATGTCCATAAATAACTGGCACAGATCCGTAAAGCGCCATGGGCGAGTTAGATTCGAAACCTGCAGTATCAGAATTTCGCAACCTAAAGGGCTCCATATCGCTTGTATCTGGTAATTCCAAATCATAAGCATGGTGGTGTAGACCATACAACTTCAAGGCATCACTAAACTTCACACTGAATCCAATATCTTTAATTTCTTCATCCTTAAAAGTAAAAACATCTATCAGTAAGAACATTCAATCATTAGAAAGGCAATATAGTTTATCCTTGATTTCTAAACCTTGATTTCTAAAACTAGTGTAATTTATCTTTTCACCTAATAACGCTGTTCGGGAGGTAAGTGTGAATCTAATCAATGCCATTTTTTTAATCGTGCAAAAGCTCGTTAAGGTTAAGATTATGTTGCGGATAAAAAGTGAACGTAGTCATTGACATTTTGACAATACCTGTGGTATACCTCTCATTCGTTGGAGAACTAGATTTTCGTCATAATACCGGTTGTTGGATGCCATTTATAAACATGAATCAAGTGACTGTTAGCAGTAACTCGGTACGAATTTGCTTAAGCCATTATTTTTTACACACAAGCAGCCGCGCAGGTAGAAGCCTAAATGCTAGAGCACCGCGGCTGCTATGAGCATCCCAAAAAACTGTGTTAATCAGATTTTTGAACTGCCTAAGGTTAGTAGAACTGGGAAAATCCTCTATCTGTAGATTGTTTCACCATCTTGACACCCTACGAACAAAGGTGCGGTCGTATCAGTTCTGCATGTACGAAGTTCGTCTCGTTTAGGATGGGAGGCGAAAGTCAGGCTGGTCTGTCTGGCAGGCACATTGCGCGGCAGCATCATGGAAGAGAGCTCGGAGCCCATTGATGTAGCTGTAAAAGAGAGTAAGATCGCCGACAGACCGATGGTGCGAAAGTGTCCCGAGATTGTTAGAGAAGAGTCATCTATCAGTCGGACAGCCCTCCTCTGAACATCATTGAGCATGGATAATGTAGTCGGGGCGGCAGCATCCCAAACATCTGAGAAATGCTCGAGGCTAGGTCTTATCTGCATCTTGTATAGAATGAGGAGGTCATTTAGAAAAAAGTACTGCTCAGCCCTAAACAAATAGTCTAGCTTTTTCCCAGCAGCTGCCGCTATTGACGAGATGTGTTCGTGCCAAATCAGGTCGCCGGTGATCTGGACTCCGACCAGGCGAAATGAATGACTCTTTGGCACAACTCGGCCATCAACCGAAATCGGATGAGCACTAAGACGCTTTTTGTTTCTCAAGGTATGTTTTGAAAGAGTATACTGTACAGGATTGTTGCGTTCTCATCCAGTGATGACCTCCAGAGGAGAGAGGAAGTCCTGCATGTAGAACGCTAACATAAGCAAACATGTGGATTGGATTGATAGTACACTAAATGGGGTTATTGATATGTAAGAGAAACAGTGTCGGAGTCACGACCGATCTCTAGGGAATACCCGCGTAAGCGTTGTGGGATGAAAGAAGAACCCGTCAATCACGACGGATATCTTGGGGCCAGAGAGAAAGTCAACTACCCATCTGCAAAGCTTCTCTGGGAGGCCATATGATGGAAGTTTGCATAAGAGGGCAGCAGGTCACAGCTGATTGAACGCTTTCATGATATCAGCAGCGACATGAGCCTCACCATAAGACCGATTGAGTTTACTCTACAATTGCGTGAGGTAAGCTATAAGGTCCCCTGTGGATGACTGGCGCCGGAAACCATACTGCCTCTCGCTAATCAAGCCGTGATGTTTGAGGTACCCCAAAATCTCGGAATTTGTGCACCTCTCCATCACATTATTTATAACAGAAAGCAGAGCTATAGGGCTTAAGTTGTAAGGGTCAGTCTTTGAACCCTTTTTTGGAATGGGTTCGACATGAGCATATTTCCAAATTTCTGGGAATATGCCGGATTCTTTTTTTTTATATATATCGAAACAGCCGCGCAGGCAGAAGCCTAAATGCCGGAACACCGCGGCTGCTATGATGATCCCATAGAAATTTTGTTAATACGATTTTTGAACTGCCTAAGGTTAGTAGAACTGGGAAAAGCTTCCTCCCGTAGATTGTTCCACAATCTAGACACCCTCGGGACAAAGGAGCGGTCGTATCGGCCAGTTCTGGATGTACGAAGCTTGACACGGTTAGGATGGGACGCCGAAGTCAGGCGGGTCTGTCTGGCAGGCACATCGCGCGGCGGCATCATAGAAGAGAGCTCTGAAGAGCAAAGCCTGTTGGTGTAGCGATAGAAAAGAGCTAGATCGCCGACAGCCCGCCGGTGCGAAAGAGTCCCGAGGCTGTCTGTTAGAGAAGAGTCATCGATCAGTCGGACTGCCCTCCTCTGGACAGCATCGAGCATGGACAATGTAGTCGGGGCGGCAGCACCCCAAATGTGTGAGCAATACTCGAGGCTAGGCCTTATCTGGGCCTTGTATAGAGTGAGAAGGTCATGCGGAGAAAAGTACTTCTTAGCCCTAAAGAAATAGCCTAGCTTTTTCCCAGCAGCTGCAGCTATTGAAGAGATGTGTTCGTGCCAGATCAGGTCCTCGGTGATCTGGACTCCGACCAGCCGAAATGAATGGCTCTTTGGTAGAACTCGACCGTCCATCGAAACTGTATGAGCGCTAGGACGCTTTTTGTTCGTCAAAGTACAGTACTGTGTTTTGGAAGCATTGAACTGTACAAGATTGTTGCGTCCCCAAGCAGTGATAGCCTCCAGGTCTCTTGTCAGAGAAGAAGTCGTCGCTAGTCTTCTTTTTTCCAGCTCAGCGGCAGAGATCGGATTGTCACTCTGAATTCCTGCATGTAGAGTGCTATCATCAGCGAAGCTGTGGATTGGGTTGATCATGCAGGAAAGGAGGTCGTTGATATGTAAAAGAAACAGTGTTGGAGCCAAGACCGATCCCTGGGGAACACCCGCGTTGACGTTGTGGGATGAAGAGGAGAATCCGTCAATTACGACGGATATCTTGCGGCCAGAGATAAAGTCAGCCACCCATCTGCAAAGCTTTTCTGGGAGGCCGTAGGATGGAAGTTTGCTTAAGAGGGCAGCGTGCCACAGCTGATCGAACGCTTTCGTGATGTCAAGAGCAACGACATGAGCCTCACCATGAGACTGGATGAGTTTACTCCACAGTTGCGTGACGTAAGCTAGGAGGTCCCCTGTGGATCGTTGGTGCCGGAAACCGTACTGCCTGTCGCTAATCAAGCTGTGACGTTCGAGGTAGTCCAGAAGCTCGCGATTTATGCACCTCTCCATCACTTTACTTATAACAGAAAGCAGAGCTATAGGCCTGTAGTTGTAAGGGTCGGTCTTAGATCCTTTTTTTGGGATGGGCTGTACATGAGCAAATTTCCAGTTTTCTGGGAAGGTGCCGGATTCATAAGATATCTGGAAGAGACGCGAAAGAGCTGGAGCAAGCTCCGCTGCACATCTCTTCAGTACAACGGCAGGAATCAAGTCCGGACCAGAAGCTTTGTTGATGTCGAGCGACAAGAGCACTCGTCTTACGGTCTTATGCCTGAATGTTACCTCCCGCATAGTGTGGGGAACCCTTTGAATTGACGGCACTTGGGCGTTGGTGGGGACGTCCATGGTGGAGTTGGCAGCAAAGATCTTGGCTAGCACTGCCGCCTTGGCCTTTGAGTCGAATACAATAGTTCCATCCTGACACGTAAGTGGTAGAAGGCTACTGTGTGAGAAGTTCTTTTCAATCTGCTTGGCCAGCGTCCAGAAAGACCGACTGCCATTGCGCTGCGACATTACCCTGTGCCTAACTTTTATATCATGCTGGTTTTTGGCATTGCGAACCGCTTCGTTATATTTGTTTCTGGACTCGACGTCGGCTTGTCTGTTCTCTACAGTGGGGTTTTGTAAGTAGGTTCTGTGGGCCTTGATCTTCTGCTGGCGAGCAGTGTCACACGATTTGTTGAACCAGCCGTTGGACCCTGGTTTAGGAACTTTCACTGTGTGAGGGATGTATTCCTCCATTCCGACGTGGATAATTTCGGTTATTGAAGAACAGACGGTCGACGCATCCGCGTCAGTAAAACAGACATCTCTCCAAGGAAAGCTAGAGAAGAAGTCGCTGAGCCCCTCCCAGTCGGCATGTCCGTAATGCCAAGTTTTGCGGCCTGTGCGAGTTTCTGCTGCCACAGCGGCTTCTGACCGAAACCTAACCTCCACAACACCGTGATCTGAGTTACCCAGGGGGACAGGACAGCAGTGCTGTAAGGGGCAGGATGCGTGGTCAGAAAGAGATCCAGCAGGCTACTGGCGTGTGACGAGACGCGGGGGAAAAAAGTAGGGCTCGTCACCAGCTGGGTCAGCCCTTGAGTAAGAGCGAACGCTTCGACTGCACGACCTGCTGCATCGGTCTTATTTGAGCCCAGCCAAAGCTCATATGGGCATTGAAATCACCGAGAAGAACTACTTCTGAAGCGGGGTGATTGATGTTCAGGAAGTCGATCTGGACGGCGAGGTATTCGAGTAGGTCATCCCAGTTATGGTTCGAGGGAGAGCGATAAAGGCAGCAAATGAATTTGGGTGATGTTTTGGAGTTGAGGCGAAGCCACAGAATGTCCTTCCGGTCTGATTCCAAAGAAAGATCCCTGGAGCAGGAAAGACTGCTGCGGACAAAAGCCACAACTCCCCCGTTCTTTCTCAGATTGGAGTGCACCTCGTAGTTTGGGAAGTTGAGATGGTTAATCGGTGCAGTCTCTGAGATTTTTGTCTCCGCCAAGAAAAGCACGGCGGGACGATTAGATTGCAGGTAGTGATGAACAGCATCAATGTTGCTGTTGATCCCGCAGATGTTCGAAAAACAAATTTTATCTTCGATGTTGTTCCCTCGAGCCCACCCTCCACCCGGACATTCCGAGAGTGGAGTGAGTTTACGTCCGGAGTTTTTCGTGAGATATCTGGAAGTACGGACCAGAAGCTTTGTTGATGTCGAGCGGCAAGAGCACCGATGTTACGGTCTTATGCCTGAATGCTACTTCCCGCTCACTATGTGTAGGTAACCCTTTGAATCGACGGCACTCGGACATTTGGGGAGACGTTCATGGTGGAGTTGGCAGCAAATATGTTGGCAGGCACTTCCACCGTAGCCTTTGTGTCGGCTTAAACAAATCACAAAAAATGTTTTTTTCGATCCGGAAATGTTTTTGACCATTCTAACCAGAAAAGGTTTCTCTAATGTTGACCGTTTCCGTGTCATAAGCGATTTAAATAAAAATTCTGATAATGTCCTAATTCAATGTTCAAAAATTAGTTTTAAGTCACCTTTTTGATGGTTTCCCCGTTCATAAAGTTATGACATTTCCCAACAACAGATTATTTTAAGTTCAATTCATAATTTATACGAAAACGTTGTTATTGAATGGGCCACACGCGCATTCCCCTACTCTCTAGTGTACGGAAGCCACGTGGCACTGTGGTACGAGCGACTGACGCGATATTCTAAGCTAAACTAAGCGCGCTGCTAATACCTCAAATGGTCAACCATGTTTTATCAAATCGTAAAATAATTACATTAATTACGATAGAGGCGCTAGGACCCGTTTGTTTATATTTCAACAGGGCGGTCGGTAATAATAAAGTTGTTTTTCGAACTGAACATTCTAATAATTCGTTACTAAATGAGGAAGAGAGTGAGAATAAAAAACGATAAAAAGGCACTTGAGTTCTCGAGTACTATGCGAGTCACGCAAATACCGACCAAAACGTTAAAAAGCTGTGGAGTTCGGAACTTATTTTAAGTAAAAATCGTGTGCCAGCTAAAATATTGGGTTTGTATAATGTCTACCGTATTATTCTGCATATTATGTATTTATTTGTATATTTATTTATTGCCTCTCAACAAAAAATGTTGTATAGGAAGAGTAATACATTCTTAACTTAAATCTGAAAAACCTGTCCAACAAAAAACAGACAAATAGTAGATTTAACGGCATATATCACATAAAAGCGATTTTCAATCAAATGGTCTATGTGTGGTAATTATATCCAAAAGAAGCAGGTCAAAAATATTTAGGCCGTTAAAGTTTGGGGGCGCATGATTTGAGTTCTATAGGATATAGTATATAGAAGTCTTCACTAATCCTCGTATTAATTGAATGCACTTGGCCGTGTGTTGGCATTTTTTCTCTGTTCTTAAATATATATATAAAAAAGTTATAAATCATCATACTTTGATTCTCTTAAACAGATCTCTATATGATGTGATAGCACATTAGTGATATAACACCTATTATACATCTGAAATTTGTTTCTGTTTCATGAACACATCCTTTGAATAAGTAGAGATCCCCCAAAAAAATATACCATTCTTTTAACAGAGTCAACCTGTGTATGATACAAACTAATTAATTGACCTAATTGTAGAATATCTCTTAAATTTATTAAGTCATTACATAGTAACAGCGCTGCTTCCACTCCATACAGGAATCCAAATACATACACACTAAGGAATTTTATAGATTTCACATCATTGATAATATTATTTAATTCGAAACTTAGTTCGGTGCAAGTTGTTCACCTTGTGTCAAATCTAATACTTAATGTTGTTTATATTTAAATATAAATTATTATTTGAAAAACAGTTATGGAGCCTTATGCATCTGAAATGTGACAATCATTTTTAGATTATACGTCAAATAAATGAGGGTAAGGTAGTTATTTCACGTTGTTCAATTTTAAGTCTTTTCAGATTGTCTTAACATAATTATTCTTTTCTAATTTCCTAAAGTTACTTGTTTTGATAAAAATGTTTGTCGTACTTAAAGAACAATAAACGAGTTCGTAACATATTCTGGATTTCTATTAAATATTCTATGGACATCCGATTTTACCGTATGATCAATCGCGGAAGACCGAATCGTTAAACGTTGATGATCTTACAATATGGTCAGTCGTAGATGACCAGATGGTTAGACGTTGAGGATTTAAAATGATATGGTGATATTTAGTTGGAATGGAATGGTCAATTCTACGATAAGGCTGCGGTATACTTACTTTTCCATCATAAGACTCCTTCTTATATTCCATAACCAAATTTGTACTATCCAAAACCACCATTTCCTTCTCATCATACAAAAATGACACTTTTAAAGGTTTTTTATAAATGACAACTGAATGTTTTTCATTGATTGAGGGATGAGGCCTTATTGTTGTCTGTCTATCCCGTATCGTTTGTACTTTGACTCTGCAATATAACAACAAATATTTCAAGAGTGGCTCAGTTCTTGCTCTTTATGATACATATATATATATATATATACTAAGTGACATATAAATCCGAACACCCAGTTTAAATGGTTTTATTTTAATAAAATTTTGTATAAGTACTTAATGAAGCATAATAAGTAAATGATAAAAATTTCAAAATGATTGCACTGCTTTAAAGCCCTTTGACCTTTAATAATGTGTGGATGCACCCTGATGTGCTACGCATTCTCGAACGCGCCTAGGCATGCTTCTGATCAGGTGGTCAATGTCCTCCTGTGGTATCTCATTCCAGGCAACCACCAACTCCTCTCGAAGTGCTTCTAGAGTCTGAGGAGGACGTTGCAAATTGAGCAATCTCCTACCCATCATATCCCACGCGTGCTCAATTGGGGATAAGTCGGGAGATCTTGGTGGCCATGGTAACAATGTGACATCATTATGTTGAAAGAAGTCTATTGTGACTCTTGCAACATGTGGTCGGGTATTATCTTGTTGGAAAGTTGGATCTGCCAGGGTGTCAAGATAGGGTAAAAGATGGGGTTCTAGAACTTCGTGGATATAACGCTGCGCGTTCATGTTACCTCTGATGAAGATTAAAGGTGACCTGGAACCATAAGCTATAGCACCCCAAACCATAACTCCAACAGTGTGATGAACATGTCTTTCAACAAAAAACTGTGGATTCCTCCTTTCACCACGTCGCCTTCTAACCCTGGCACGACCATCGTTCATGCCTAAACAAAATCGAGACTCGTCAGACAATACTGTTCCATTCCTGATCCCAGAGTGACCGTTGTCTGCACCACTCAAGGCGATTACGTCGGTGTTCTCGAGTTAAAGGGAGGACCCAGTGTGGCCGGTATGCAAACAAGCCAAAACTTCTCATTCGTCGGTAAACACTTCGCATGCCAATAGGTCTTCCGTGCTCTGCAAACCATTTATTTGCAATGGACCTGGTAGTGGAGAAACGGTCCCTTAGGCCAATAATCTTAGGCGGCGATCTTCACGGTCTGTTGTTCTACGGCGGCGTCCCTTGCTCTTTGCGTACGGCCTTCTCGAAGCCATGCCTGACAACACCTAACCACAGTGTCTACACTTCTTTGCACTCTAACTGCAATTGCCCGAAAAGAAAGTCCAGCTTCCCGAAGTCCCACTATACGGCCCCTATCAAACTCACTAAGTTGACGAAATCGTACAGGTCTCCGTACTCTAGGCATCGTAACCGATCGTAAAGGATGTCAAGAACCAAAATCCGCCAACGTTGATTCTTTACTGCGGCTAAAATATTCATTTTTAGAGCGTTAGTGAATTAAAAAAAGCAGTATAAAAACCGGAATGTCCAACTGATAAGGCTGAAAATTTTTTCACTTGTTATTTACAGTAAGATAAATACATTCACCAACTTTTATTAAAATAAAACCATTTAAACTGGGTGTTCGGATTTATATGTCACTTAGTATATATATACATATATATAGGGTATTTCAAAGTACAGTACAATCGCATAAGGTACATTCATGGATGCTGAAAAGCCCCTTTACCGGAATACAGGATGTTAAATTTGGTAGTTTCAAGATCGGGAAAATATATCTCCGAAGAGACATTTTATACATGTTGTATGAAGATAACAGCATTTCAGATACGTGCAAGGAATTTTGTGACTCAAGCTGCACCAGAAGTATTGATACCGGGATATCTTTTATCCTACAGAAGAAAAATATTTCCTGCTGACTTTTATAGACAAATTTCATTTTTGAATAAGGTATTCAAACTTGCATGAATTATTTCTCCTGAGAAATTGTTGTAAGGTAGTTAGTTTTAATTTGAAAGTACGCTCTAGTTAGTGCAGTTCGATAATGTGATAAACGATGTCACCACAATCAATTTGATGGTTATTCACGTTTCACCCCCAATTAGTGCTGTCGGAAGCATAGGAAAATTACAACAAATTGGTGATGTGACATTCCAAAACCCAGATAAAATTTTTCTAGCCAGTTTTGATATTACGACGTATTCGCAAAAAAGCATGAATCATACGGGGTCATCAGAAAGTCCCGGATCCGGTACGGTGACCTTGAAGTTGACCTTAAGCATGCTCTTGAAGGTCAAATCAAAGTCAAGACAATGTATTAAATGAGTCCCCGAACTATTCACTCCGGAACCGGATAGAACAAAAATGTTACTCTTAGATATATCCTTGGGTGACAATTAGTTGTAACTTTTTAAATGATTATTAAGCTGGCTTCTTATTCACTGGATCATTCTTAAGTTCAGCCTAAGCTAAAGAAATAGCCTTGAATGCTCTTGTAAATATACTTACTTTATTCGTTTTGGTTGATCAGCATCGAGCACATCTTTCAATTCGTATCTCTTTTTATTTTCTTCTTTCAGTTGGAACCGCACTTTACCTTTCTCTAGCAGTTGTATTGTAAGCCTGAATTTATCCTTTCCTCTGCTAAGCTTCCATGAATTAATGTAATCGCCTTTTGATGTTGGTTCCAAGTTGTCTATTTTGAATAGCTCATTTGGAGGAGTTTTTCTCAATCGACTAAAAAATATAGGAGATAGAGAATACAACAAATATACCTTATTTGTCCAAGGTTTAGTTTTGTTCAGATTTATGATTACACAAAAGTACTAAGTTTCCAGGTATTTATATTCATTTGAGGCGTGATGGCTCACCGACCGTATTAAAGTTAACCTTTATGGTGCTATGTACCTAGAATTTTAAGAATTTACGCGTTTCAACTCACGAGCGAATTATAGCTTATCTTATCAGAATATATCCAGTAACAAAAGGATAATTCTTGGAAATGCGATTTGTATACCAGAAGTCGTCTTGTCGACTGCACGCATTCTATGAAATACCCGAACAGCACGAAAACCCGACAAACCAGGAATTTTTGGGAAAAAAGCTATGAGAAAAGTTTCAGGGTATCAAAAGAGCAATTTGTTCGATCTAACTAGACAATGAGCTCAGAGGGCATTTGTAGGTCAAATTTGTAAATTCAAATGCCAATCGTCATTTTTGACAGCAGGTTCGTATCGACTTCGCGATTCTATGTAGAAATTCATTTCTACACATTAGGCTAAGCGGTCATAAGCTGTTCGGTCAACATTAACTACCGTAACGCCAGGCACAGTACTCGAACAACCCAAAAACTTGGCACCTACGAATTTTCGTAAACAAGGGTTAAAAGAAAGTTTTCGGGGTATCAAAAAGCTATTTGTCGATGACCTCAGCTATGACCTAGACAATGACCTCAGAGGTCATTTAGAGGTCAATTTTGTGAATTCAAATAACAACTACCATGTTTGCTGGTCGATTCATGTGAAACTCGAGATTTTACATCATAGTCAATTTTAATGCATGAGGTGAAGGAGTCATAAGTAGTTCAATCAGCATGATCTACTCAAAAGTCGGTAAAATAGACGAAAACCCTGAAAACTTAGCAACCACGCATGTGCTTGCAATGTTTTGAGATATCTTGAAAGCAATTTGTTGATCACCTCAAATATGATCTAAAGTGTATCTAACGAAGCTACAAAGTAATCGTAAACAGTGGTTGATTCGTGATCAACGCGTGATCGGTAGCCATGGCGCTCTGTCGGCCTCTTCCTGATTGGCTTGTAGCGACGAGCCTCCAGACAAAGTCGCACGGTTGACACGCTCGGCGAGTTTTCGCCAGAGTGGTTGATCACATTCGCATGGATCACAAATCAATCTGTTGGTGCAATACGTGCAATAACTGTTGTAAAGGACATTATATAACAATAAATGGCATCACAAAGGTATATTCCAATTTGATCTGCAGCAAATTATGAACGGCATATACGGAGTTGCGAAAACAAGCTCAAAAAGGTGAAGAAAATTTTTGTGCAATCTTTATAGTTAAATTTTTCCTAAGAGACAGCATCAGTGAGGGAATTTTTTTCTATTGTCTTATTTTTCACATTAATGTGATGTCGAGGTATGTGGCCCTATCGCAATTGAAAATAAGGTTTCCATAACATAACAGCTCCCTACCCTTCCCCCCTATAAGAATATCGATTTGTAGCCTCACATTTCAAGGTTAGACTTCTTGTAATGTTTCTGTTCAACATTCGGCGATTTCTGACAATTTTCCCAATAAAACATGATCATTGTGACATTAAGCCTGGCAACGCTGCATAGTAGAGGGAACTCTCAGCGTCACGTTGATGGTTCGTCACCACGCACAGGATTGTAATCAGTTACGGATACCCGTTTATGAGCGCGAACGTTTTATGCACGTCTTGACTTGATTTTTCTTGCGGAAATTTAATATTAGTCTAAAATGTCTGACACAGATACAGCTGATGAAGTGGTTGAAATCAGCTTAACGCCACCCAGAAAAAGGGTTAAAAAGCTTCATCTTAGCGCAGGTGAAAAACAAATTATTCTAAATATCTACAAGAACCAGATGCAAGAGAATAGTGGATTGGCTATAGAAAATATCGTATGTAAGGTTGCTGAAATTTCTGGAGTAGGTCGATCAAGTGTTTACAAAATCTTGAAGGAATATAGACAAAATCACTCACTATCTGAGCCAAAAACATATCCAGCGAGAAAAAAAATCATCGAAAAAATAGATGACTTTGACAAAAGTGCCATTAGAAGAAAAGTACATCACTTTTTCTTCAGGAATGAAATACCTACAATAGATAAAATATTGAAGCAAGTGAATGATGATGAGGACCTGCCAAATTTTAAAAGATCTACGTTCCATAAGCTGTTGAAAGAACTAGACTTTCGATTTTTGAAAAGAGGAAGGAATAGTTTATTGATAGAAAAGGAGGAAATTGTTATCTGGAGGAGAGAATACGTTAGAAAAATTAGGCAATTCCGCGCTGAAGGAAGAAAAATTTATTATTTAGACGAAACATGGGTGAACGCGGGGCATACGCAGGGAAAGGTTTGGGTAGACAGATCTGTGAGGTCCTCAAGGCAGGCTTTTTTAGATGGCCTTTCGACGGGATTGAAAAATCCTGCAGGTAAGTTTCGAAGTATATGGTACTTTTTTGGATGCAGATAATTCATTTTCTGATCGAATCAATGATTGGGAAGCTCCGAACTCAGTTTTGCTATCTCATCCAAGTTTCTGAGTATTTCCTTCACCCAAAAACTAATCTAAGACCCTATCCTACACTAACCTAAAAAGAGTAAGTTGCTTAATTTCGTCATTTAGTGCGCTCGCTGAGAAGTAAAATAACTAATTACTTTCAGGCAAGGGAAAACGCCTGATCATTTGCCTCATAGGTAGCGTAGATGGATTTGTTCCTGAAGCATTGTGGGCATTTGAATCCAAAAAAACTGGAGACTATCACGAAGAAATGGATGGTAACTCATTTGAAAATTGGTTCAAAAAAATTTTGCCGACACTTGATGATAACGCAATTATTGTGATGGATAATGCCCCGTACCACTCCAGAAAATTGGAAAAAATTCCAACAATGGCCACCAAAAAGGCAGACATTCAACAGTGGCTTGGCTCAAAGAAGATCGACTTCGACCAAACAATGGTCAAAGCTGAGCTGATAAATAATATAGTCAAGCGACATAAGTATAAATATGATTTAAAAATTGTTGACGAAATGGCCAAAAACCAAAATAAAACGATTCTCAGGCTGCGTCCCTATCACTGCGAACTGAATCCTATCGAGTTGATTTGGGCCGACATCAAGTAACATAATACGTGGCGTCAAATAACAGCACTTTTAAGTTTTCTGACCTTAAAAAACTGTTTGATATTGCTGTCGATAGAATTACGCCAGCAAAATGGAGAACATGTATTGACCATGTCCAAGAGAAGGTTGAAACCAAAATGTGGGATATGGACAATATCATTGACACCCAAGTTGAACCCCTTATAATTGATATCAACAATTCTGATGATTCAAGCTCCTCGGAATACAGCATATAAATCGATTGATACCATTAAGACTGGCAGTTTAACGGGCTTTTTGGTAAGACAGGTAAGTTCATTATAGACTGCAATCAAAGTGTAAGTTTCTAGTTATTAATGTGGAAATTCCAAATTTATAATTACACAAAATTAGGGTTAATTTAGGAGTTCCAAAGCATAATAGTGCCATTTTGACCTTCTTCCTATTTCTCATGTAAATTTTAATAGCAATCAAACTAACAAACTTTATGGAGTCTGTAATAAACTTTTGTACTACTACTACTACGTCTGTAGTTTCTATTTGCTCAAAAAAATTTGCTCTGCATTGTGAATAGAAGGTTGATTTGTAAATATTATTGGGTATATATGTAAGTTAATAATAAAATATGAACAATTTCAATTGAGATGGTCCACAAGTTTTTTTCGTGTGCATTTTAGTAACATTTTGCTGAAATGGTGAATACAGAATTTTTTGCACTGATTCCTAATGTCGAAATATGATTAGAAAGGCGTGGTATATTCCTGATAATTTACTATGCTTTTGATAGAATTTACAGCAACACATATCTTGTACGACATTTTTTGATAGATCAGTCACAATAGCTTGATAGGGCCCTGTAGCGTCTCCTACGGTTAAGTTCTTGATCACGTGCAATACGGGTGTATATGTTTGATTTTACTTTGTTTCTTCGATGGATACAGTTTAGACAATGACCTCTGAGATCATTTGGAGGCCAACGTTGTAAATTCAAATAGCAATCACTATTGATATCAAAATGATTGTGTCGAGCTCCAGACATCAGAATGTTTTTATCTACACGAGGTCAAGTTGGAATAAGTGGGATAGTCAGACTGATCTACTCGTCTGAAAAGTTCTGTAATACGCAGAATACGTGGCAACCACGCACTTTTCCTTATCCTATATTGTCGGAGTGCAGTACATGTTATACAATCCATTTTGATTTGAAATGCGTTGTTATGGAGTGCTATCTGACATCATCGAAAGGTTGCTTATCTGATACTCTGGAACTTTCCTACCATTTTTTTTCCCAAAAAGGGCATGGTTACCAAGTCCGTCCTCTGGGTGTTCGTGTATTCAGTCCTTTTCAGACATTACAGTAGGGCATGAACATTGAAGCATTGAACCACATATGACCGCTTAACCTCATGTACAAAAATGGATTCTGATGTAAATTCTCAAACCCGACACGAATTTACTGTAAAAAATGGTGCTTGCTATATGAATTAACAAAGTTGACTTCAAAATGACCTCTGAGGTCAATGTCTAAGTCATATCTGAGGTCATCGAAAAATTTCTTTTTTGATACCCTGAAACTTTTCTGGGAACCTTTTTTCGGAAAAATGTGTGGTTTGCGAGTTTCCGGGGTGTTCGTGTAATTAATGGACGCGCCTATATCATCGAATTAGCCTCGCAGCGAGGCATCCGGTATCGTTAATGTGGGTACCGGGGCACGCTGGGATAAGGGGCAATGAGACGGCGGACACTCTGACGAAGATAGGATCAGCCAGCTCGTTGGTCCTGAGCCAGCTCTAGGAGTGACCGCGAATAGAGCTAGGAGAAAAATGGAGACGTTGCAAGACAACACTCTCAGAAATGGAGAAATATCTCTAGAAATCTCTGCCAGGCACAGGAACTCATTGAAGGGTCCAGTGCTAAGGATGGATGTTTCTGCTTATCTCTGGATAGAGCCAACCTAAGGTTGCTGGTGGGACTGTTGTCTGGCCATAACACGTTAAGGCGCCACCAGCACGTGATTGTAGTGGCTGAGGATCCCTTGAGACCTCGGCGTACATTTTGTGTCGCTGTGAAGCTCTGAGCTACTATAGGCAACTATACTTGGATCCCCAGGACGTCAAGGAGCTTGGACTCTCGGCGATTCTCAACTTCGCTAAGAGGGCGAGGCTTGTGATCTAAGGAATGCAGAGGTGCATAAGAGCCCGCTCAAGCGGCCTATGCACTGGCTCCAGTGGCGACGCGTAACTTTTCCTAAACTGTTACCAAAAAAAGTTTATTTTGAACCTCCCAAATATAAGTT